CACACACACACACACACAAAAGACCAATTTCCTAGGGCAGGGGTCTGCAACCTGTGGCTCTTTGGTCCCTCTACAGGCTCTTTGAAAATGTGACCAAACATAACAAAATAATTTTCTTTTGTCTTTATACCCACAACAGAAATCAATTTGTAAGCAAATATCAATWCTACTAATGCAAAAAATAAAACATGTTAGCTTCTGCTAGCCTGTTGTTTACTTAAATAATCCAACTTTTGTCTTTCTCTCAAATCCATCAGAATTACCTTAAAAGAATATTAAAAACTACATAATAAGAATTAGAAAAAAATAAGCCTGAATAATCAGGGCTCCAGAGTGCGACCAATTTGGCCACAAATGCGACCGGATTTCCTAATAGTGCGACTAAAAAAAAATGTCCGGTCGCACAGGTGCAACCAATCATTGGAGCAGGAGGGGGAGCGGTCGCCCGCTGAAACAAAACGTTTCTATCATGTTCCATAAAAAAATGAATCCAGCAGTATCAATGGTCACCCGCTGACAGTCTCATCTCTCCTAATAACATTGCGCTCTGCTCCCGGGCTCCGCTCCACACCTCCCACGCACACACACTGTTGTCTATCCTCATGGGGACTTTGCATTGGCTTCCATTCATTTTCCTGTCCCTATAGCCAACCATAACCTCCCAGGTAGACTACCTGACCCAAACCCTAACCTCACCTGGCTGTGTGTAGCAGGTCCAGGGAAATGGTCAATAATTGTTCCAGTCATGAAGCAAAAACCTACACACGCGCGCACACATAGCGAAACAACCATAGTTTTTTTTTTKTTTTTTTTTTTTACCCAGATCGGAGTCTGAAAAACAGTTATTTCTTGTTAGCTGGAGATGAAAATAAGATGTGGACAKTTGCTCGCTCTTAAGTCCGTCTTGTTAATGTAACAGTCAGGGTCTGAGYGCTGCAGATCATTTCAGCAGGACGAGGAAGCTCACCTGTATGGCAGGCCGGTTTTGCCCTTAATCGACTTCACCACAGTTACATTCCAAGTATCTGAAATAGGTTCTTCTGGGTCTCAGGAGGATAAAACTAGACATATTAGATATTTAAGTGAAATAATAT